GACTGCTCAATGGCGGCCCGCTCGCAGACCTGGCAGTTTGGTCAGTGATCCTCCTCCTCCTCCTCCTCCTCCTCCTCCTCCTCGTCCTCGTCCTCCTCCTCCTCCTCCTCCTCCTCCTCCTCCTCCTCCTCCTCCTCCTCCTCCTCCTCCATTTCCTCCCTCTCCTCCCTCTTCTCAGCACCCCCACCTCCCATGATCGACTTCCCAGGGCTTACTGAGCAGGGGGCGTCCATCGTGGCCGCGCCCTGGGGGTGAGTCGGCTGGCCACTCGGGCAGCTCTGCGAGGCTCCCCCACGTTGTGGTATCGCGGGGTCAGTGCTCGAGATGATGGGCTGCGAATGAGGGAGAGAATAGAAGGAAGAGAAGGAGGGTGAGGAGGAGGGCGAGGAGGAGGAGGAGGAGGAGCAGAAAGAGGAGCTAGAGCTGGAGCTGGAGCTGGGCGTGAGGTGGTGGAAGAGGTGGGGGGTGAGGTGGAGGTGGAGGTGGAGGTGGAGGTGGACGTGGAAGCTGCGGTTTTGAGGTGGGGGTGCCTGTGTGAGCTCGGGCTCCGAAGGGGAGCGCTCCAAGCTGCCTCGTTCACTCCCGCCTGCCATCCCACAAATATTGTGGATGGCATGACAACGGACACTCTAACAATACTACCACTGAATACAAAGTGCTTATATGTGTAAAAAATGTTCTAAGAATGTTTCAAACTTGTTCTTATATAGTTGAAACATGTTTGAAGCATGTATCTGGAGCATGTTTGGCAGCATGCGTCCTCTCCATTGATCGACTTCAAAACACAAACATGACGAGCATCCGCGACCAAACCAAGTGGAGAGGTCGCCATCGGATGGCCAGCCACTGGGAGCTCCACGTGCGCCGAGCGGCGCGCCCGCCCCTGCCAGGCAGGCGCGCGCCGGCCGCGCGCGCGCGCCGCGCTCGGGGTGCGGCGGGTGCGCCACTGCACGCCACAGCACACGTCGGGCAGCCGGTCGACACCTCCACCGGCCGAGCCAGAGAGCATTGCCACAGTGGCGGCGGGGTGGCCAACGCGGCATGCGGCGGCGAGCCCGGGGGGGAAAGGAGAAGGGGCGGGCCTTCTCAGAAGGCTCGGAAGTCCCCCGGCCTTCTGAATGAAGAGTCGTTGAAGCCTTCTCCGAAGACGCCGAGAGCTCCTCAGGAGGCCGGAGGCCTTCTGAGAAGTCCCGCCGCCTTCTTGGAAGGCCTTCTCCTTCTCATGTCCCCCCCCTCGCTCACCGCCGAGGTGGATGGTGCGTTCGCCCACAGTCCCTCTGCATGGGCCTTTGACAGAGATGATGAGTCACTGCCCGACATCAGAATCCGCTGACCCTGTCGGCGCGTGTGACGGGATGGCGGCCCTCCATCCCTGGCAATGTGGAGCAGTTCACCCCAGCGCCCTGTGGCCACCATGAGAATTCCTCAGCAGCATCAGCTCAAGACAAGTGGAGTGAAGTCGCAATCGAGTCGAAGGGAACTCCCTTCCTTGTGTCTTCCCCGTTGGGGTGGGAGACGGGATCCTGGGGGGATCATGAGGGGTGGTCCTGGCGGGTGGCTTTGTGATTAAAATATTTCATCGAAAGACAAGTTGAACAACAATGAAGAAACAGCAGGATCAACCATACTGCATCTGCAACATGTGGCAATAGCAGCGGGCTCACCCAGACAAACGAACATTAGATACGGTGCGTTATCCTTTCTGCGCTCTACACAGGGAACCTACGCATTCGGCGCCCAAACAAAGCTATATGAGGAGATCGGATAGCGAATTAAGGTGTAAAACGTCCCTCCGCTGGACCTCCCCTGGGCACACGACAGTGGCAACACTTGCGCTGTTGGCAGCTCAAACAGAGGATGGAGAGCTAACCTGGGTCTGTTTCGCCCCGCACTCCGCTGGACATCCCAGGAGCCGGCAAAATTTCCGACAGCTGCACTGTAGCGCCCAGCGAGGCGAGGTCCAATTCGGATGTGGGTGGGTTAAACACCACACCGCGGACCCTTCCAGGATCTCATGAAAGTGGCGACCGCCGTGCGGTTGGCAGCGCCCAGGGAGGCGAGGCTGCGTGAGACACCACGCCGCTAGAGCTCCGAGGAGCTGACGAAAATGGCGACGGTTGCGCCTGCGCGTTTGGCAGCGCCCAGGGAGGCAATGTTCCGCAAGGATCTGCGTGAAACACTACTCCGCTGGACCTTCCGAGCAGGAACACGCGGAGAAAGGAACCGCACCAGGAACCGCAAGGGTAGGGACATGAGCAGGAACATTACCAGAAGCAGGGGTGGATCAGTAGTAGGAGCACAATCGAGACAATGGTTGGAAATAGTCTGCATTGTGCGCACAGCCACGCGCATGCGCAGGGGGAGGAAAAGCTGCGCCAGTCCCAAGAATTGGGCAGCGATACACAGCCTGCTGCTGGGCTGGGCTCCTGGGCAAGCGCACCAGGCCCGAGCTGCGCTTGCAGCCCACGGCGCTCGACGGCGCACTCTCTCGAGGCTGCCCCAGAGGCTAAGAGCCCCGAGGGCGAAGCGGCACCCAGTTGGCACCGGTTACATTGGGAGACTCTCCTGCCCCCCAAACCGCTGCATGAGGGGCCCATGTTCCACCACCACTACCACAGGTAGGAGAGGAGGAGGATGAGGAGGAGGAGAAGGAGGAGGAGGAGGAGGAAAAGGAGGAGGAGGAGGAGGAGGAGGAGGAGGAGGAGGAGGAGGAGAGGAGGAGAGGAGAGGAGGAGAGGGAGGAGGAGGGAGGAGGAGGCAGGAGGAGGAGGAGGAGGAGGAGGCAGGTCTCTCGGGGCGCCCGCCGCCACGACGGGCGGGGCAGCGCGCGAGGCCTCGAGGCGCGGCCGCGCCCACCAGCTCTTCCACTACCGCGTCGGGCCCGCGCGGCAGGGCCGCGCCCGCGGCCGCGACAGGGCGGGGGTCACCACCACGCGAGGCCTCCCGGGCGGGGTTGAGCGGCCGCGCTGCGTGGTTGAGGCCTGTGGCCGGCGGCAGCCTCTGGAGGCCCTCACCGGGCCCCCTGGACCGCTGAGAAACGGCTCGAGGCGAAACGTGGCTCCCGGGGGAGGGGTCCAGGCCCCAGAGGCCCCATGCTGTTCTTGTCCTTTTTCCCCCGCCTTCCTTAGGGGGCGTGGGGGGCGGATCCTGAAAATGTGGCGGCTCAATGGAATCTCTACCGCACGGCATCGCGACTACCAGCCGGGCCCTCACGAAGAAGCCGAAGGTACGCGAGAAGCCCCAGGAGGCCCCACGTTGTGACAAACCCACGGCGTCGGAGGTCTGGGCAGGCCCCGCGCCACGGCACCGCACCGCACCGGCCGCTCCGCCTCGAGGCCGACACCGACGGCGCTGCACGCCCGGCTGGGCGGCATGCCGATGGGAGCTGGCACCTTCAGCAAGAGAACGCAACGCCGATAGGAGGCACAGCTCGGTCCACGCAGCGGCACCACAGCACGCACCCCGTGGCCGACATCGACGTCCTGCGCGCGAGGACGGCGCGAACGGGCATGCCCTTGCCTGGGGTAATGGCGCTCAGGGCTCTGCAACGAGCCTGGAGGGAATCACCAGCTACTCCAGCCAGATGAGGAGCGGAATAGCGAGGAGGAACGACGAGGAGGATCCACGATGACGACGACGACGACGCGGAGAATCCACCTTGACCGCCTCCCCCTCCACTCGTCTCACCCCAACACATCCTTCCGCCACCACCCGTTCCTCCCCCTCCTCCTCCTCCTCCTCACCACCACCACCACCATCGTCATCATCAGCATCACCAACATCATCAGCATCATCAGCATCATCAGCATCAGCATCAGCATCAGCATCAGCAGCATCATCATCATCATCATCATCATCATCATCATCATCATCATCATCAGCATCATCATCATCATCATCATCATCATCATCATCATCATCATCATCATCACCACCACCATCATCATCATCATCATCATCATCATCATCATCATCATCATCATCAGCATCAGCATCACAACCACCACCACCACCATCACCATCAGCAGCAGCATCATCCACACCATCCATCTCATAACATACTCAGCAGCATCGCCAGCAGTTCAACCGTATCATCATCATTGTCACTCATCATCAGCATCAGCATCATCAGCATCAGCATCAGCATCATCATCGTCATCGTCATCATCATCATCATCATCATCATCATCGTCGTCATCATCATCGTCATCGCCATCATCAATATCATCAGCATCATCATCAACATCATCACCATCGTCATCATCATAACAATACTCGCCATACACTTCAGCAGCATCATCACCATCATCAGCAGCATTAGCACCATCCTCATCAACATCATCAGCACCATCGTCATCAGCATCAGCATCATCGTCGCCAGCAGCAGCATCATCATTGGCAGCAACATCGTCAGCATCATCATCAACATCACCATCAGCATCATCACCATCATCATCGTCATCATTATCATCAGTAGCAGCATCATCCTCATCAGCATCGGCAGCATCATTATAGTCGCCAAGAGCAACGATATCCTCAGAATCTCCATCATCCTCTTCAACGTCAGCAGCCTCGTCATCCTCAGCACCAGCAGCATCATCCATCAGCAGCAGCATCGTCATCATCAACGTCATCCCGCTCCTTCTCCGCCCTCCCCTCCCAGCACGTACCCAGGGAGCAGACCGCGGGTGTATGCCTCATCGACGCGTCGCAGGGCGGCGCGGGCCTGTGGAACCACCGCCATCGCCTCGAACCCTCCGCCCTCCCCTCCTCCCCCTCCTCGAGGAGCGAACTGGCCAGCAAGAGAAGGGCGGCCAAAGGAAGGAAGACGATCCGCAAGAGAAGACCAGTGAACAAAAAAAACACCGAGGTGATGAAGCCCGCTGCCCTTCAAGACGGCCAGCGCGTCAACGGGAACCGTAAGGACGCGAGCGGTCTACAGAGCAGAAAAGAAGGACAAATCCCCTCCTCCCCCTCTTCGAGGGGGGGGGGGGCATCTTTTCCGCGGCGGCACTCCCCCGCGCGGCGTCGCGGCACGCCCGCGGCACGCTCCCCGCGCGGCGGGCACGCTCGCCCACGGCGTCGCGGCACGCTCGCGGCCCCCCTTCCCCCGTCACGGCAAGCACTGGCATCGGCGGCGGAAGTGCCAGCGCGGGCAGGACACGGGACCTGGCCGCGAGGGGTGGACGACGACGACGACGACGACGACGACGACGACGACGACGACGACGACGACGACGACGGCGGCGACGACGACGGCGACGGCGACGGCGACGGCGACGGCGACGGCGACGACGTCGACGACGACGACAACGACCTGGCCAGGAGGAGGGATGAATCGGATCGACCAGGCACGACGACGACGGCGGCGACGACGACGACCACGACCACGACAAAAAACGACCGCGGCCAGGACCACGACCACGAAAACGATGACGACGGCCAGCGCGGGCAGGAGACAGTGCCAGGCTGGGAGGGGAGACGACGCTGAAGACTGTTCTAGACACCTAGAGCGGCGCCACGGCATCACCACCAAGAGCCAACTTGGAGCAAGACTGGTGGAGTTGGCTGCAGTCGCGAACGAGATGGCCAACGGGAGAGGACATGAACACCTCGTCTCCCCTCCTCCCTCCCCCCTGCATCCCATCTCCTCCTCCGCCCCCAACTCCCCATCATCATCATCATCATCATCATCATCATCATCATCAGCATCAGCATCAGCATCATCATCATCAGCAGCATCATCAGCATCATCATCATCATCATCATCATCATCATCATCATCATCATCATCATCATCATCATCATCATCATAATCAGCATCATCATCATCATCACCATCATCATCGTCATCATCATCATCATCAGCAGCAGCAGCATCATCATCGTCATCATCAGCAGCATCATCATGTCGACGTGAGCAACACCACCTCGCTCATCCTGAAGACCCCTGCGGCTGCGAGCTGGCAGCAGACGCTGCCATGCAGCATGTCTGGGAGTCTGCACCAGAAGTGCCCCTCGTTGCAGCATGTCCGATGGGGAGTTCGACTGGGGTGTCCATCCGTCATACGCTAACACGGCGTTGCAGCATGCTCGAGTGGAGTTCGGCTGGTGTGCCCATGTTCCCGCACGGCTGCACGACGCTGAGCATGCCCAAATGGACTACTTCTGGGGTGTCCCTCCCCCAATGCGCTAGCACGGCGTTGCAGCATGTCAGAGAGGACTACGGGTTGCATGCCAATCTAAAATGCGTCAGCAGGACGTTGCAACATGTCCGAGGGGATGTCGACTGAGGTGCACATCGCCCAATACAATATCACGACATTGCAGCGTGTCGGAGAAGGCGTGACTGGGGTGTCCCACCCGCGAGACGATGGGACGACGTTGCAGGACGCCCGGGGGAACTACGACTGGGGTGGCCCTTCGCAATACGCTAGCATGGCGTAGGATGCCCGAGATGAATACGACTGGGGTGTCCCTCCTCCAATCGCCAGCAAGGCGTTGCTGCATGTCGGAGTGGACTGCGAGGTGGTTGACCCTTCCCCGTACGCTGGCACGACGTTGCAGCATGTCCGAGGTGAGTTCATCAGGGGGTGCCCCTCCCCCCGTGCGCCAGCACGGCGTTGCAGCATGTCCGAGCGAAGTTCGACTGAGGGGCCCCTCGCCTAATACGCGAACACGACGACGCAGCAGGTCCGAGGGGCGTTCGACTGGGGTGTCCCGCCCCCAACACGCTAACACGGCGTTGCAGCATGTCTGAGGGGAGTTCGACTGGAGTGCACCTCCCCCCCTACGCTAGCACAGCGTAGCATGCCCGTGGGGACTAGAGTAGGGAAGAGTAAGTTAGGAGAGGGGAAGGGGAAGAAGGGGAAGGAGGGGGACAAGGGGGCGAAGGGGGATGGGGAGGAGGAGGAGGAGCAGGAGGAGGAGGAGGAAGCGGAGAACAAGGAGGAGGAGGAGGAGAAGGAGGAAGAGGAGAAGGAGGGAGAAGGAGGAGGAGGAGGAGGAGCAGCAGCAGGAGAAGGAGCCGCAAGAGGCGGGGAGGGGGAGGACGAGGACGAGAAGGGGAGAGGGGAGGGAGGAAGAGGGAAGGGAGTCAGAGGAGGAGAAGGAGGATAGATGTACACACACAGATACATAAACACACATGCAAACGTACATGCACACATACAGACACACAGGCATACAGACATACAAACACACCAACATACAGACGCCAATGCATACATACATATATACATGATTGCATGCATGCATACATACACACATACAAACATACATGTGTACATGCATACGTACGTGCGTGCGTACGTACACATACGCGCACATACATACATGCATGCATGCAAGCAGGCAGGCAGACAGGCATATATACATACATGCAGACAGACAAACAGACACACAGACAGACAGACAGACAGGCAATACATACCAGACACCCCCCAGACATCCACACGCAGACATACACATACATACATACATACATACAGACTGACTGACTGACTGACTGATGTACATGGAAGCATGCAATAAAACAGAGCTCAACACACTGCAACGCAATACAATAGTATACAACACGATACAACACAACGCAACGCAATAAAACGCAACGCAATGCGTTACAACACACATGCATACGGTATGCAAACACACATGCATACATATGTACGTGCATACACACATACGCACATACATACAACATACACACATGCACGCATGCATACATACATGCATGCATGCACGCATCGATACACACTTACATGTATCTATACACGTGCTTACAAACATCTAGACAGACATGCATGCATATATACCTACATACGTGCGTTCGTACATACACACATAAATACAGACGTTCATGCATGCATGCATGCACAAATACGTACCAGTATACGAAAAGTCTACCACACATACATACATGCTTACACGCATGCAGGCATGATTGCATGCATACATGCGTGTATCTATATATATATATATATATGTGTGTGTGCGTGTGTGCAGAAGCGCTCTCTATGGGCGCCTGGAGGAGGGGGATCTGGACCCCCCCCCTCAATCCAGGGGGGGTCGAGCCCCTGCCCCCCACCCCCTCTCCCGTGACGGAGCGGGGGGAGGCGGTTCAAACCTCCCCCCTTTCCTTCCCCTCCTCCCCTATTTATCCTCTCTCCCTTTCCTCGGGCCAACGCCGGCATCGGCGGCGGCTGGCGGCGGCGGCGGGGAGCGTCGATGAAGACGACGGCTTCCTTTTCTGGGCCAGCGCCGGCGCCTGCGGCGGCTGGCGGCGGCGGCGGGGAACGTCGACGAGGACAACGGCGACAACAATGACGACGACGACGACGACGCTCCGCCACCGTGCTTTGGTTTTGGGTCAGAGTCCTGATGGATGCATCTTGGGGTCTCGTCGGAGGGGTCTCGGGGGCCTCTGACGGGCATTTGTGAAGCCTCCTGGGCGCTTCCTGGGCGTCTCTTGGGGTCTCTCTGAAGTGGTGATGGTGGTGGTGGGCTGTGATGGTGGTGGCGGTGGCGGCGGTGGTGGTGGTTGTGGCGGTGGTGGTGGTGGTGGTGGTGGTGGTGGTGTGGTGGTTGGTGGTGGTGGTGGTTGATGTGGTGGTGTGGTGGCAGATGGTGGTGGCGGTGGTGGCGGCGGCGGCGGTGGTGGTGGTGTGATGGTTTCTGGTGGTGGTGGTAGTTGTGGTGGTGGTGCGTTGTGGTGGTGATGGCGGTGGTGGTGTGATGGTTTGACGTGGTGGTTGTGGTGGTGGCGGTGGTAGAGGTTGTGGTGGTAGTGGTGGGTTGTGGTGGTGGTGGTGGTGACGGTGGTGGTGGTTGTGGCGCTGGTGGTGGTGTGGTGGTTTGTTGTTGTGGTGGCTGTGGTGGTGGGTTGTGGTTGTGGTGGTGGTGGTGGTGGCGTGGTGGTTTGTGGTGGTGGTGGTGGCGAGCTGTGGTGGTGGTGCTGCTGCTGCTGCTGCTGGTGCTGGTGGTTTGTGGTTGGTGGTGGGTGGTGGGTGGTTGTGGTGGTGATGGTGGTGATGGTGGTGGTGGCGTGGTTTGTGGTGGTGGTGGTGGTGGTGGGCTGTGATGGTGGTGGTGCTGCTGCTGCTGCTGGTGCTGGTGGTTTGTGGGGGGTGGTGGGTGGTGGTGGTTGTGGTGGTGATGGTGGTGGTATTGTGGTTTGTGGTTGTGGTGGTGGTGGTGGGTTGTGGTGGCGGTGGTGGTGGCGGTGGTAGATGGTGGTGGTGGTGGCTTGTTGTTGTTGTGGTGGCTGTGGTGGTGGGTTGTGGTTGTGGTGCTGGTGGTGGCGGTGGTGGTGGTGGAGGTGGTGGTGGCGGTGGTGTGGTGTTTGTGGGGTGGTGGTGGTGGGGTGTGGTGGTGGTGCCGGTGGTGGCGGTGATGGTGAAGGTTGTGGTGTAGTGTTTGTGGGTGGTGGTGGTGGCGGTGGTGATGGCAGTGGTGGGTTGTGGAGGTGGCGCTAGTGGTGGCGATGGTGGTAGCGGTGATGGTGGTGGTGTGGTGGTTTGTGGTGGCGGTGGTGGTGGTAGATTGTTCTGGTGGTGAGGTGGTGGTTGCGGCGGTGGTGGTAGTGGTGGTGCTGGAGTGGTGGTTTGCGGTGGTGGTGGTGGTGCTTCTGTGGTGGTTTGTGGTGGTGATGGTGGTGTGTTGGTTTGTGGTGGTGGTGGTGGGATGTGCTGCTGGTCGTGGTGGTGGTTGTGGCGGTGGTGGTGGTGGTGTAGATAGTGGTGATAGTGGCGGTGGTGGGTTGTTGTGGTGGTGGTGGTGATGGCTGTGGTGGTGGTGGTTGCGTGGTGGTTTGTGGTGGTGGTGGTGGGTTGTGGTAGTGGTGGTGGTGGTGGCGTGGTGGTTTGTGGTGGTGGTAGTGGCGGGCTGTGGTGGTGGTGCTGCTGCTGCTGGTGCTGGTGGTTTGTGGTGGGTGGTGGGTGGTGTTGGTTGTGGTGGTGGTGGTATTGTGGTTTGTGGTTGTGGTGGCGGTGGGTTGTGGTGGCGGTGGTGGTGGCGGTGGTAGATGGTGGTGGTGGTGTCGTGGTTTGTGGTTGGGTTGCTGGTCGTGGTGGTGATGGTGATTGAGGTGGGTTGTGGTGGGTTGTGGTGGTGGTGGCGTTTTTGGTGGCGGCGGTGGTGTAGTGGTTTGTGGTGATGGTGGTGGTGTAGTGGTGGTGGGGGGTTGTGGTGGTGGTGGTAGTGGCGGCGGTGGTGGTGGTGGTTTGGTGGTTTGTAGTGGTTTGTCGTGGTGGTGTGGCCTTCGGGTCTTCCCGCCACCGTGTTTTGGCTGTGGGTCAAAGTTCGGACGGATGCTTCTTGAGGTCTCGTCAGAGGGGTCTCGGGGGCGTCTGAGGGGCATTTGTAAAGCTTCCTGGACCTTCCTAAGGGCCTCTCGTTGGCTTTTGGGGGGGGGGCTCGATATGGCGATTTGTGTTTCCCCTCTGCGGCCTCTGGACCCTCTGGTCATCGTCGCCGCTGCGTCCCCGCCGTCGGTGCTGCTGGCCGCCGCCAGCGCCGCTGGCGCCGGCGCCGAGGTTTGGACCCCCCCCCTTTGGGGGTGGGGGGGGGGGGGTGGGAGGGGGGGGTTAGGGAGGAGGGGGGTCCCCCTGGTTCTGATCGACGGCGCCGAATGTTGGGGGGGGGCCTCGGTTCGAATCGCGCCGCCGAATGCTCCAAGGGCAAGCGCCCGGGAAACGCGCTCTCTCTCCTCTCTCTCTCTCTCTCTCTCTCTCTCTCTCTCTTCTTCTCTCTCTCTCTCTCTCTCTCCCTCTCTCTCTCTCTCTCTCTCTCTCTCTCTCTCTCTCTCTCTCTCTCTCTCTCTCTCTCTCTCTCTCTCTCTCTCTCTCTCTCTCTCTCTCTCTCTCTCTCTCTCTCTCTCATATATATATATGTGTAAATACATATGTATCTACATACATACATACATACATACATACATACATACATACATACATACATGCATACAAAAATACATACATACATACATACATACATACATACATACATACATACATACATACATACATACATACATACATACATACATACATACATATATATACATACATACATACATACATACATACATACATGCATGCATGCATGAATGCATACATACATACATACATACATACATACATACATACATACAGACATACATACATATATACATACACAAACACACACATACATACATACATACATACATGCATGCATGCATACATACATACATACATACATACATACATACGTACGTACATACGTACATGCATACATACATACATTCATGCATACGTACATATATACATACATGCTTACATACATGCATGCATGCATATACGTACATACATACATACAAATATACAAACATACATACATGCATGCATGCATATATACATGCATACATACATGCATGCATGCATGTATGCATACATACATACATACATACATGCAGACATGCAGACATACATACATACATACATACATACATACATACATGCATACATGCATGCATGCATGCATGCATACATACATACACATGCATACATATGCACGTGCACACATACATGTACATCTACATATACACTTACATACAATCAATATACAGATACGCATCCGCATACGCATAGACATGCAAGTGCGCATGTACATACACACTCACACACGCAAAGATAGACATTGGCACCGACACCCCCCGGGGCGTTCCCAGCGCCGAAAAGGCTCCAGGATGGCCCAAGGGTGCCCCAAGAGGCCCCCAAGACGATCCAAGAAGGCCCCGAATCGCCGAACGACTGGTCCAAGACACGAAAGATGGCCTCCTGAAGGACGCTCGAAGCGGCCTCCAAGAGCACACCACGAGGATCCCAGCAAGCAAAATGCAATAAATCCCCTTCGGTTTTGGAAAGACGTTGGCGTTGTCGCCTTTTCGGCGCCCCGACGCACCAAGACAAACCAAAATGCCCCCAAGATCGCCCAAAGAGGTCCCCAAGACGGCCCCATAACGACCCAAGAGAGCCCCACGACGGCCCCATAGACCTCCAAGACGGCCCAAGATGCCCCCAAGACGGGTCCAAGAGGGTGCCCAGAAGGGGGACCCGAACAAACAGTTCGAGCCCCTGGCCCCGAGAAGCTCCCGGGAGGCAAGAGAGGCCCCCAAGGGACCTCCACGAGGCCCCCACGAGACCCCCAAGAGGCCCCCAGGAAGCCCCAAGAAGCCCCCAAAAGGCTCTCAAGAGGCCCCCACGAAGCTCCCAAGAGGCCCCAGAACTGCCCCCAGAGGCCTACGAGAGCGCTCCGAAGAGACCCCACGAAGCATCCCTGAGGACTCTGGCCCATGTCAGCATCGTCGTCGTCGCCGCCGCCGTCCGTCGTCTTCGTCGTCGTCCCCCTTCAGGGTCGGCGGCACCAGCCACGAGGCCTTCCCAAGCGCAAGCCGCCACGATGATCAGAGCGGCGGGGCCGACGGCCAGCCCAGGGAGGCACAAAGACACAACCACACAGCCACATACAGTCGGGGCCTTGACCTAAGGAACCCTAAATAAGGAACGAGGCCCCTTTTTTCCATAAGTTAACCTTCGATTTCCTGTCGAAAGCATAAGGAAAGCCTGAGGCAAGCTGTGAAACACTTAAGGAACGCGGAGCCCCTCCCCAACGAAAAGGGTTCCTTCTTCAGGGCCCCGACTGTACGCCACCTGGGTTGATGAGAGGATGGCGGCGGAGAGGCGGGCGGCGGCGGGAGAGGGCGCCCACGCCGAGGACGGCCGACCGCCCCTCGAGAGGCAGCAGGCGAGGTCGAGGCCGAAGAACTCCCAGGGCTGCCTGCTCCGTGGAGGGTGCGCGCCCTCCCTCCCTGCCCCCCTCCCTCCCTCCACATCCCCCCTCCCTCCCCCCGCGTCACCCCCTCCTCCCTCCTCCCCCTCCTCCCTCCTCATCATATTTCTCCTCCTCCTCCTCCTCCTTCTCCTCCTCCTCCTCCTCCTCCTCCTCCTGCTCCTCGCCATCAAAATCGTCGTCGTCGGCGTCGTCGCCTCCGACGCCGCCGACGTCGCCGCCGACATCGTCGTCATCATCATCCTCATCAGCAGCAGCATCAACAGCATCATCGTCGTCTTCTTCATCATCGTCGCCATCAGCCTCATCAGCATCACCTTTATCATCTTTATCATCATCATCATCATCATCATCATCATCATCATCATCATCATCATCATCATCATCATCATCATCATCATCATCATCATCATCATCATCATGATCAGCATCAGCAGCATCATCATCATCATCATCATCATCATCATCATCATCATCATCATCGTCGTCAGCATCATCACCATCAGCATCAGCAACATCATCATCATCACCATCATCATCATCAGCAGCAGCAGCAGTACCAGCATCATCATCATCATCATCATCATCATCATCAGCAGCAGCACATCTTCATCGGCATCATCATCATCATCATCATCATCATCATCGTCGTCATCATCAGCATCATCAGAAGCAGCACCATTATTATCAGCACCACCATCATCATAAGCAGCATGAACATCATCACCACCAAAACCACCACCGCCACCATCATCAGCAGCATCATCATCAGCATCATCATCAGCAGCAACACCACCACCACCATTATCACCCGCATCATCATCATCACCATCACCAACATCATCATCATCGGCATCATCAACCGCATCATCAACAACATCATCAGCATCATCGCCAGCATCATCATCAGAATCATCCGCATCGTCATCCTGAACATCATCATCGGCATCATCATCAGCAGCATCATCGGAATCAGCATAATCGTCGTCGCCATCATCGTATACATCGTCAGCCTCGTCATCACCAGCATGAGCGCAGCATCAGAAGCATCACCATCAGCCAGCATCATCAGCATCATCAGCATCATCATCATCGTCATCATCGTCATCAGCATCGTCATCAGCGGCATCACCGTCGCTGGCATCATCATCATCAACAGCAGCATCAGCAGCATCATCAGAAGCAGCATCAGCATCAGCATCATCATCATAAGAAGCAGCATGATGATCAGAATCATAACCATCATCATCATCAGCATCCTCATCATCACCATCACCATCACCATCATACTCATCAGAATCAGCCGCAGCATCAGCAGCATTAGCATCAGCATCAACACCACCACCACCATCATCAGCATCATCAGCATCACAAACAGCATCATCACCGCCACCGCCACCACAATCACCAGCATCCGCAGCAGCAGCAGCATCATCTTCAGCATCATCAGCATCATCATCGTCATCGGCATGATCAGCATCATAATCGTCATGAACATCACCAGTCCCACTATCAACGTCAGCCGCGTCATCATCGTCACCAGCATCGCCAGAGTCATCATATCATCAGCAGCATCAGCATCAGCAGCATCATCATTAGCATCAGCATGAGCAACAGCATCAGCTCAGCAGCATCAGCATCATCAGCATCATCAGCATCATCAGCATCAGTAGCAGCATCAGCATGATCATAACCAAAATCAGCATCATCAGCATCATTATCAGCAGTAGCAGCAGCATCATCATCAGCATCATTACCGTCATCAGCAGTCTCATCCTCCTCCTCAGCATCGTCGCCAGCATCTATCAGAATCATAGCCATCAGCATCATCAGCCAAACCGTCATAGCATAATCAGCAGCAGCAGCATCATCAGCATCATTCCCTACCTAGGCTCTGCCTAGAAGGGTTCTTACTTTGTTGGCTAAAGGGGGCGGGCAGTGTAACTCACCCCGGGCGGTTCCCCCGGTTGCGCCCCCCTGGTTCCCCCAGTTGCGCCCCCTGGGTTCACCCAGCTTAGCTTAGCTAAGCTTAGCTTAGCTTCGCTTCGCTTAGCTTTAGCTTAGCTTAGCTTAGCTTAGCTTAGCTTAGCTTAGCTTAGCTTAGCTTAGCTTAGCTTAGCTTAGCTTAGCTTAGCTTAGCTTAGCTTAGCCTAGCCTAGCCTAGCTTAGCTTAGCTTAGCTCAGCTCAGCTTAGCTTAGCTTAGCTTTGCCTAGCCCAGCTTAGCTTAGCTTAGCTTAGCTTCGCTTAGCTTTAGCTTAGCTTAGCTTAGCTTAGCTTAGCTTAGCTTAGCTTAGCTTAGCTTAGCTTAGCTTAGCTTAGCTTAGCTTAGCTAGCCCAGCTTAGCTTAGCTTAGCTTAGCTTAGCTTCGCTTCGCTTCGCTTAGCTTAGCTTAGCTTAGCTTCGCTTCGCTTCGCTTAGCTTAGCTTAGCTTAGCTTAGCTTACCCCATCTTAGCTTAGCTTAGCTTAGCTTAGCTGTTGCTTTCCTGAATGCTCCAACTCCTAGGTAGGGTCGCACTGGGATAATCATCATCATCGCAAGCATCATCATCAGCAGCAGCATCATCATCGCTATAGTCCTGCCAATTCCTGTGTCAGGGTCATACGGGTCTGACTGGTACAGCCCTTCTGAGAACCAAACATGCACCTGGGCCACATGAGCGTCACCCGAACCAGTGCCACGACAGTTGGAAACCCTCACGCGTCCAGCGGGCACTCGCCGTCGTGAAAGGTTTCACCCTCTTCCCTCCTCATTAGTATCGCCACCATCATCATCGTCATCATCATGATGATTGTCAGCATCATCAGCATCAGCATCATCATCATCAGCATCATCATCATCATCAGCATCAGCTTCAGCATCATCATCATCATCCGCCTCCCCCTCACCCTCCTAAATCCCCAACCCCATCCTCATCCAAAAACCCCATCCTGCTCATCCCCCTCCTACTTTTCCCCCTCCTCATCGTCCTCCATCTCCCCCCTTCGCCCGCGGGGTCGCCAGAAGTCTGCAGGCCCGTCCTCAGGCCCAGGGAGAGGAGCGTGAGGCCGCAGAGGCGACCAGATCCAGTCGTACTCGCAGCCAGGCTTTCTACTCGCAGCACACTTCGCGGCCACGGCAGAAAGGGGAGAAGCAGGAAGAGGAAGAGAAAGGGGGGAGGAGGAGGAGGAGGAGGAGGAGGAGGAGGAGGAGGAGGAGGAGGAGGAGGAGGAAGAGGAGGAGGAGGAGGAGGAGGAGGAGGTGGAGGAGGAGGGGGGGAGCAGGAGGAGCGGGAGGAGGAGGAGGAGAGATGAGAAGGAAAAGGAGGAGGAGGAAGAAGAAGGAAATGGCAATCAGAAGGAGGAGGGGAACGAGGAGGAGGGATGAGGAAGACGGAGGAGGAGGAGGAGGAGGATGAGGAGGAGAAGGAGGAAAAGGAGAAAAGAGAAAGAAAAGACAGTTAAGAGCACATAAAGAGACGAGAAAGAGAGAGAGAGAGAGAGAGAAAGATAGAAAGATGGGAGAGGACAGCGGAGGAGGACAAGCTAGGTGCGCAAGGTGTTCGGATGAGCAGAAGGATGAGCAGGATGAAAAGGAGGAGGAGGAAGGAGGAGGACGAGGACGCACAGCAGCAGCGGGAACTGGAGCGGAAGGAGCGGGAGGAGCACGAGGACCCGTGGGAAGGCAGCGGGATTTCGCTGACCTCCTGCATGTAAGCGGGAGGGCAAGAGAAGGCAAGGAGTCGAAATCACTAGCCACACTGATGAAAGATTCCGCGGCCTTCGGCCGGTTCACCGCCAGGAGGTCGTCGTGGATTGTACGCCTCACCTCGGTCAACTCGCTAACGTACTTGGCGGAGAACGCCCACTTCCTTCCACGTGCAATTCGGCAACAACGGTTTCGCCACAGCATACGAACAAGCAAAAGCAAATGTCCAAATGCGGCGTCATCGCTAGAATGATGGAGAGCAAACATCCCCGATCATTATCTGCCCCCTCCTCCTCCATCCTCTGCCTCCTCGTTCTCCGCCTCCTCCTCCTCTTCCGCCTCCTCCTCCTCCTCCTAATCATCATCATCATCATCACCACCACCACCATCACCAACACCACCACCACCACCATCTCATCATCATCATCAGCAGCAGCATCATCACCACCACCAACATCTCATCATCAGCATCATCATCATCAGCAGCATCATCATCCTCATCATCATCCTCATCATCATCAGCAGCATCATCATCATTCAGGGCTCGAGCTAAACCATGTTTTCCATGTTAGTACTGTGATCGTTAGGCATCGTCGCCATCATTCTGAGCAGCCGCATCATCCTCATCAGCCTCCTCATCAGCAGCAGCATTGCCCTCATCACCACCACCATCGCCCTGCGTATCCTCATTATCATCATCATCATCATCATCATCATCATCATCATCATCAGCAGCAGCAGCAGCAGCAGCAGCAGCATCCTCCTCCTCCTGCTCCTCGTCGTCGTCATCATCATCCTCATGTACATCCTCATCCGCGTCATCCTCATCCCCATCAGCAGCAGCAGCACCACCACAACCATCATCATCACCAGCATCATCAGAATCATCATCATCATCACCATCATCATCACCGTCAGCATAATCAGCATCATCATCAGCATCATCATCATCAGCAGCCTCCTCATCATCGTCACCATCCTTCAGGGCTAAAGCTAAACAATGCGCTCCGTGTTCGGTCTGTGTTCTATGCCCCTTGCTCCGTCTTCGTCCCATCGTTGCTGCAAAACGACAACGGCCCATGAAAGCACCATCATCGTCATCATCAGAATCGTCAGCAGCAGCATCCTCATCGTCACCATCATCATCTTGAGCATCATCAGCATCATCAGAATCATCAGCGTCCTCATCATCACCACCATCATCATCATCATCATCATCATCAGCATACTCATCAGCATCAGCATGATCACCGACTTCGTCCTTATCATCGTCATAACCATCATCAGCAGCATCATCGTCATCATCAACGTCAGCATCATCGTCATCGTTATCATCATCATCACCATCATTAGCAGCAGCATCAGCATCAGTATCATCATGCGCATCCTCATCCTCATCCCCATCCTCATCATCATCATATCCATAGTCACTATCAGTCTCATCCCCGTCCTCATCCTCATTCTCATTCTCCTCTCCATCATCAGCATCAGCATCACCATTACCATCGTCATCATCATCAGCAGCATCATCATCGTCATAATCATCACCAGCATCATTATAATCGTCATACTCATGATCAGCATCATCGTCATTATCAGCATCGTCATCTTGAGCATCGTTATCAGCATCATATTATTCATCCTCATGGTCCTCATCAGCATCAGCATCATCACCATTATCATCGTCATCATCATCATCATCATCATCATCATCATCATCATCCGCAGCAGCAGCACCATCATCAGCATCAGCATCAGCATTATCATCATCATCATCACCACCATCAGCATCATGATCACCTCCCGCCGCAGAGTCATCACCACTATCTGCAGCAAAAGCATGCTCCCCCTCCTCCTCCTCCTCCTCCTCCTCCACCTCCTCCTCTTCCTCCACCTCCCCGTCGCCAGCCTCGTCATCATCGTCGTCATCATCCCCTCCCCTCGCCCTGCCCACCCCTTTGTGGGAAGAGGAAGAGGGGAAGGAAGGGGGGGCAAGGGAAGAGAGGGGGGAGGAGGGGAAGGGTGGGCGAGCGGAGGGGGGAAAGGAACATGCATAAAGCAAAAAACGACGCAACCGCTGCGGGTCCGCGGGCACTGGTTGGATCTGCACCGGACCGCGACCGTGGCGCGCAGAAGGGGCCAGGGGCTGCGCCGGAGGCGCCGCGGGGGAGGGGGTTCAGTGCAGATCCAAGATATGCGCGCGGACCCTCGAAAGGCTGCGCGCATGCCGTTTGTATTCCTCGTCGAGAGGAGGAGGAGGAGGAGGGGAGGAGGAGGAGGAGGAGGAGGAGGAGGAGGAGGAGGAGGAGGAGGAGGACGAGGACGAGGAAGAGGAGGACGCGGAGGAGGAGGAGGAGGAGGAGGAGGAGTAGGACGAGGAGGAGGAGGAGGAGGACCAGCGCAGACCCAACACGCGTCAACAATGTTACAACAAACCCTCCCTTCAAGTTCCCTCTTCACAGGTCCCTACAGGAATTTGTTTCCGTAGCGTGAAGTGTTCCATTGGAAGACAACAGTCTGAGAATCTTCGAATGTGCCAAAACACCACTCCTGAGACTTCAATGCCGCGAACCAACGTTGCTGCGTCCTGTCAAGCCTTAATCGCGCCGAAAGCCCACTCCTGGGACTTGAACACCGCGACTCAACATTAATGCTGCGTCCTGGCACTTCTAAGTCGTGCCAGGACACCCTTCCTGAGACTTCAACCATACGACTACTCGAAGCTGTTGCAAACGAAAAACGGATTCACGCGGCGCTAAGGCGAGAGCCACATCGTAAAAAGAACCGCCCATAACCCTTGAAACTGCTGCAGATCTGCTTAACCGAATGCACGCAGCACTAAAACGAGAGCCATGTTTTTTTAATGAGCCACCCTCCTTGAAGCTGCTGCCAGCTTTTAAGGCAAATGTGCGCGGCACGAAGGCGAGAGCAACATTGTAAAAACGGCCCACCCTCCATCCTTGAAGCTGCTGCAAGCGCTTCAAAGCGAATACGCGCGGCGCCTAGGAGAGAGCCACAACTTGAAAAGGGCCTGCCCTCGACCCGTGAAACTGTTGCAAATCTCTCGCTTCAGGGTCACACGTGGCGAGGAGTTCTCAGGTGAAACGCCCAGCTCGCCCTGCCGACACTTCTGGGGGTGCGGCGGGGGGAAATTGCCTATCAGGAAAGGGATGGGGGAGGAGGAGGAGGAGGAGGAGGAGGAGGAGGAGGAGGAGGAGGAGGAGGAGGACGAGGACGAGGAGGAGGAGGAGGGAAGCAGAAGGGAAGCAGGAGGGAAGGCGGGTTGAGGGCACGACGAGAAGACGGAAGCTGGAAGCCGGAGCGAGAAAAAGACGGAGAGTTGAGGCGGAGGGTGGAGGTGGAGGGAAGAGCAGCAGCTGCAAGACCAGCAGTCGCAGCAGAGAGGGAGAGGGGGGGGAGCTGGACGGAGCCCATGATGCCTGTCGCGCAGAGTAGTACCCTTGAAGAGGTGCTGGCACTGCGGGCCCTCCGTGCAGGCCACCAGGAAGGCCACTGGAGGGAACCTGAAGAGGGGCTCCTCCTCCTCCCTCCTCCTTTAGCTTTGGCGAAACGGGTCCTCAGGGAAACGGGTCCTGGACCCCAGGGCTGTCCCCCAGGACCACTTCTTCATCCTGGACTGTGTTTTGATAGCCCCAGGACCCGTTGAGGGTCCAGAGAAGCCAGAAATGGATGACAGAAAAAACGCTGTACCCGTTTCCCTCAGGACCCCTTTCCTTCATGGCGATTCCTATGGAAGCAGCAGCAGCAGCAACAGCAACAGAAGTGGGAGTTGGATTCAAAGCGGGAGCAGGACAAGGAAGGATGACGACGCGGAGACAGGCGCTGACGAGGATGAAGAGGCGGAAGAGGATCGAGAACTCACAGAGCCGGGGATGGAGCGCGCAAGGTGAAGGATGGATGGTAAAACGTTGAAGGCGAAAGCGGGAGGATGGAAGATTGACGAAGGAGTGTATAATAAAAGGTTGTCCTGGCCAAGGACCCAACCAACTGCAAGTGTGAATACCGCAAGGCAGGCGGGATGAAGGAGGGGAAGCCCCCTATGGGGCCATGAAACGTGTGAGGGGCGTGCCGAAATGGGCGGGAAGCCGCATGTGGACGCTCTCACTGGGGAGGTGGAGCTCAATATGGAGCCGCGACGCGTGTGAGGGATGTGCCGAAAATGGGCCAGGGGCCGCATGTGGACGCACCCACTGGGGCCGTAGGTGGGATTCCGCAAGCGCGTGAGATGTGTGCCGAAATGGACCAGGGCACACATGGACGCACCCACTGGAGGCTTAAGTGGAGCTGTCTATGGTGCCTCGATCCTATCTCCTCCGCCTCCTCCTCCTCCTCCTCCTCCTTATCCTCCTCCTCCTCCTCCTCCTCCTCCTCCGCCTCCTCCTCCTCATCATCACTATCATCATCATCAGCATCATCATCATCATCAGTACCATCATCATCAGCACCATCACCGTCACCATCACCAACATCATCACCATGACAATCATCATCATCATCATCATCATCATCATCATCATCATCATCATCATCATCATCATCATCATCAGCATCATCATCATCATCATCATCATCATCATCAGCATCATCATCATCATCATCACCACCACCATCATCATCAGCATCATCATTCAAAAACAGCATCATCACAATAATAAGCATCACAATCATCATTATCATCTTCATCAACATCATCATCATCATCATCATCGTCATCAGCATCATCACCATCATCACCATCATCCTCATCCTCATCCTCAGCATCATCATCAGCGTCGTCATCATCGTCGTCATCATCGACATCATCAGCATCAGCATCATCATCATCATCATCATCATCATCATCATCATCATCGTCAGCAGCAGCAGCTGTTCCATCGCTAGTTGAATCAGGATCACCATCATCATCATCACCACCATCATCATCACCCTCATGATCAGCATCATCGTCATAATCACCATCACCCTTATCCTCATCTTAATCCTCATTTTTATCATCAACATCATCATCATCAACGTCGTCATCATCGTCATCATCATCAGAATCACCATCATCCTCATCCGCATCCTCATCCTCATCCTCAGCAGCATCATCACCATCATCGTCATCATCATCATCATCACCGTCGTCATCATCATCAGCATCATCAGCAGCAGCATCATCAGCATCATCAGCATCATCATCACCATCACCATCACCATCATCATCATCATCATCATCATCATCATCATCATCATCATCATCATCATCATCATCATCATCATCATCATCATCATCATCATCATCATTCTTATCACCCTCCTCCTCGTCCTCCTCCTCGTCCTCCTCCTCCTCCTCCCCCTCTTCCTCCTCCTCCTCGAATTCAAAGAGGAGGTGGTGACCTTGCTGGGGACCTGGCACTGTCCCAGAGGAGGAGGGGAGGGAGGGGAGGGAGCCGAGGGGACTGCGCCGGGAGCCTGCGCACCTCCACTCCGCTGGCGCGCAGGTGGAGCAGGAGGTACTGCTCCGTGTTGACGGGCGGGCCGGGCGGGGGGCCCGCAGTCGAGGGGCGGGGGGCACCCAGAGCCCCCTCATTATCATGCTCGTGATCCTCCTCCTCCTGACTCTCCTCCTCCTCCGCATCCTCCTCCTCCTCCTCCTCCTCCGCCTCCTCATCATCATCATCATCATCATCATCATCATCATCATCATCAGCAGCATCATCATCGTCACCGTCATCGTCATCATCATCATCATCATCATCATCATCATCATCAGCATCATCATCATCGTCATCGTCATCGTCATCGTCATCATCAGCATCATCGTCATCGGTATTGGCATCGTGATCATCATGATCATCAGCATCACCTTCATCTTCATCATCATCATCATCATCATCATCATCATCATCATCATCATCATCACATCATCATCATAATCATAATCATCATCGTCATCGTCACCGTCAACCTCATCATAAGCATCATCGTCATCATCATCATCATCATCATCATCATCATCATCATCATCATCATCATCATCATCATCATCATCATTGTCATCATTATCATCATCATTGCCATCATCATCAGCATCATCATCATCGTCATCGTCATCGTCATCGTCGTCATCAGCATCATCGTCATCGGTACCGGCATCGTCATCATCATGATCATCAGCATCACCTTCTTCATCATCATCATTATCGTCATCATCGTCATCGTCATCATCATCATCGTCATCGTCATCGTCATCATCATCATCGTCATCATCATCACCATCATTCTCATGGTCATCATCATCGTCGTCAGCGCGGGTATCGCTTCACAATGAATCGGAGGTGGCCGGCTTTTCGAAGTGGTCCTCGCCGGAGGCTTCCCCGCGAACTGCGGCCCGGGGACTGAAATACTCAACCGCTACACTGATAGAAGGCGCCTGATTTTCAAAAGGACTAGTATGAATGAGACTTCCGCATTACTCATGACCCCGAAGCTTGGAATGCTCAACGGGTCTACGGATGGAGATCCTCAACTCGCGAGTGACTTCCTTACAGATCATAGTCCTCAAAATTGAACCGATCATTGCCCTGACGAAATCCGACTCTTTTTCAACTGGTGGTTCTTCTCTGGACACTCCCGTTCGCTACACGGCTGTAGAGCTATTCGTTTCCAAAGTCGAACTGCCTTCAGGAACTTCCAGAAATCCCTGAGCTCAAGAGCAAGGAGTTGTCAACAGATTCACAGATGGGGTTGGCTGGTTGGCAAAATCTCATTCACGCATGGCTGTCCCTCGTAACCTGTAATCCTGAAGCTTGAAAGTTCCAACAGCTGCACGGATGGAGAGCAGTCCGTTTTGGTTCGTTTTGGAAATTGTGCTCTCGTTTCGGCGCCGCGCCCATTCGCTTCGCAGGTTATACCAGCTACCTGCACGTAGGGCGAGCCGTGCTTGGGCACGTTGTGCGGCCAAGCGTGGATTTAGACTCCAGTTCGCATTGGAAGCACATGCTCGCAAGTATCGCCACCGCGCTCAGGCCACCTCCTGTCTTAAAGAACAGCGAGTTAGGCTTAGAGAAGACGAATGAAGGAGAGCTGAGGGGACGAGCGCAACGACCGAGAGCGAAGGCGAGAAGCACAATCAGTCAAAACTGACAGCCAGGATGCGCGATAAGGATGCAAGCCCCCAGGAGGTTCATGACGAAGCTCTTCAAGCGGGGCTCGCCATCGAAAGTGGTTGATAGAGGCCTCCTTGATCAGGTCCGAGTAGATGGGGTCGGAGGATCGCGCCACATCGGCGATGCATCTGCGACGTCGGCGGGGAGAAAATCGGGTTCCGCATCGCGCAGCATCGGCGATGCATCGGCAATGCGGCGCGATCCTCCGATTCCATCTGCTCTGACCCCATCTAAGAGGCCTAGAGGTGAAGGATGGAACGAAGCAGCAAGGATGCAACGGTACCCTCGGGAAGCCCACCCATCATTATCTTGAGCAGGGACCGACCGTCCCGGCATTCCTGTAGGCCTACCACGAAATTGTCTTAGAACCCTAACGTGTTCGAGTCATAATCACAAAAGCCATGTTCTCAGAACACAAACCCGATACGTCAAAACAGGACAGCCTCAGCCAGAACTGGTCTAAGAACACGTCGCGTAGACCACAAAAAACAGTCTTAGAACAACCTTTGGTGGGCCTATATAGGCGAGACAGGACGCCCCGCAACTGCTTGACTCTCACCGATCCCGACTGCACGAGGCCGTGCCCCAACAGCCCTCCGACCCTGGCCCCCAGCCCCTCCGAAGGGGCCCAGGGACACACAAATGAATACACACAAATAGAAAGGATTCCCCATAGTTTTCCATATTTTCTGGATTATTGTTCTCCCCCCATGCTTTTCTTTAAGCTAAGAGAGTAAGAACCCTTCTAGGCAGAGCCTAGGTAGGGAATAAAAGGATTCCCCTATATTTTTCCATATTTTCTGGACGTTTGTCTTCCCCCCTGCTTCCCATTTTTTCTCATATGTTCTTCGGCATCGAGGATTACTTGTGTCTGTGTGTTTTTGTTCCTAAGCCCGGCCCCTTTAAGCTAAGAGAGTAAGAACCCTTCTCGGCAGAGCCTAGGTAGGGAATAAAAGGATTCCCCTATATTTTTCCACATGTTCTGGATTTTGTCTTCCCCCCTGCTTCCCATTTGTTTCTCATATATTCTTCGGCATCGACGATCACTTGTGTCTGTGTGTTTCCCCCCCCCCCCGGCCCCTCGGCCGCGGGCCGCCCCGGGGCCCGGCCCGGGGGGGCTCTCCACGTCCGCCTCCGCGACGCCGCCGAGGTACTCGGGCCAGGCCCGGCCGGACCTGGCGGGACGCACGGAGGACACGTCGGGGGGACGAACTCGCCGTCGTCGCCGTCGACCCCTGGGCTATTCGCCCCTGGGCTATTCGCCCCTATCGTCGCCCCTGGGCTATTCGCCCCTATCGTCGCCGTCGACCCCT